GTGGTGGTGGTGTGTTTGTCGGAGGTTTTTCGCTGTTGTGAAATCATTTTAAATATTGTATTTTTTTCTAGAGGCTTATAAGTTAAACAAGCTCATTTTATAATTCACGCTATAAAACTTCAAAAGATATTTCTAAACGTAGAACATAATATGAGCCTCCCAAATTATGTTTTTCCAATTTCTCAAGAAATTTCCCGAAAAAATTTCTACTAATTGAAATTTTTCGGAAAAATACCAAATAGTAAATGAGAGTAAAGTAAAATGAATGAAACCAATCGGTTATCTATGGTTTTTATGTGACGCGCTTTTTATTTTTGTGATAAGAAAAACGGTAAAGCAGTATTTACACAAATAAATTTATTGTAAGTATGTATTTATTACGATATACATATATTTGAGTTTCTTAATATTTTTTTTCTTGTTACCTGTTTAAGCTGATGGCTGTATAACCAATACTTAATAAATAAGTAGTACAATAGATTTAACTATTAAAAATAATTTCTAAAACATCAAAACTTACGGAATTACTGAAGATGAATTTGTTTCATGATTTTTTATTTCGCAAGTAATTATACAAAAAAAAAAACAAGCAACTGTCAAAATTGACGTTGACACAAATCATCACTGTTGCGTGTGATTATTTTTGCGATGTTCGGTTGGTAAACGATAAAAGTTATCGTATTTACGAATAATTAATTTGAGATCTAACTGCACATTATAATTAGCTCCCAAAACTCTGACTCAGTATGAGCAAGTTACCCGGACTCTTAAGATGTGAGTAATAAATTTGATATTGTGATTTATCTAGAAGTAAATTATTGACAGGCAAAAATACACAGGATAGTTTTCATTACAATTAGGTTACTTTGCGTTACTTTCAGAGTTCATTGGATATTCGAACTCTTGCATCTTTCATCATGGAACAAAGTGTAGATGTAGTAGAACTTGTGTCCAACTTATTGGATTCGGGGAAGTATAAGGAAGTTCTTAGTGTGCCCAATGAAGAGAAGTACGTCAACATATTTAAGGATAATTGCTGGGATTTGATATCAGTGGTTGTTGGGAAAATACAAGATGATACAGTGGTGTTAAAGCCATCCCTGCACGGAGCTTGTGAGGAGCTGCTATTTGCCATAGTTCAGAAGTCAGCGCCCGAAGAAGCTTTGCTGGAATTCATTGAACAGATTGAGGTGGCTAAAAATGATGCTCAGTTCAGCATAATATTGACACCACTTCAATATCTTCTGAAAAAGCTATCTGTAAAGAGAGGGAGGTCTTTAGAATGGTGCTTAAACTCCATCAGTACCTATATAGAGACTATTCCCATTCCAGAACACAAGCTAGATGGCAAGGAACGCTTGTTAATGGACTGTGATCCTAACATCAGAAGAATTACAAAAGTTTATTCTCTATTGCCGCCATTCTATACACCATTCATAAAAGAACTCAGCGCATCAGAATCAAGTATCCATACAAAACAGATATTAGTTGCTTTCTTGATTAGCATATTGGGAAAACCATTGATCTATATTGATTTAGATCCTGATACAAATGCTCAGAGTGAAGTTAGACAGTGTTGTGCTAATATCATTCAAGACATTTGTTCTTTAGAGAGGGACATGCTAAAATTTCTCTACTATGTAGAAGTTTGCCATAAAGAGAACCAAAAAGCTAAGTCTAATAGGGGAGTTGATGAAGATAATAAGACTCCATATGAAAATAGAGATAAAATCAACATGTCAACCCTATCAGGGCTATTTTACATTACTCTCTCTGGTCATTTCCAAGTTCCAGAATATTCGCTTCCTCAAGTATACTCTACAGAATACATTGTTCACACTGCATTATATTGTGTAATACATTTTCTGGGCTTCACTGAGTATGGTCCTCTTGCTAAGGCCATTTCCATGGGTAAAGCCCTTCTAAATTGTTTCTCTTCTAAGATTTCCCATAATGTACTTAATTCACCTGTGCATTTTGACTTCAGTAGGAGTTTAATGAACATAGCTATCTACTGTTGCTATGAATCAGTACGTAAGGATACAGTAAGCTTGATAGGTGCTCATATAAACAAATTTAATTATAAGGGAAGATGTATGCTCATCAAGTACTTATTGGAAGTTTCCAACCATTCTGGCATGATTGGATATTCTATCACTTTGTACAAAAATTCTATAGATGAAGCTTTCAAAGAAGCAAAACTACCTGAATGTTTTGCTGGTGCCCAGTTGATAAGCATGATTAAAAAGATATGTCACTTGCCGCATGGTGCAGAATCTGATTTGGTAGAGCATGCTGATCAGATAATCTCGGCCCTGAACTTTCTGAGGTATTTGGCTATAAAAGATACAGAGGATTTGACTGGAATAAGAGGATGCTTTGCCAGTATTGAAAATGATTATTTGAAACCTTTGAGGACTGGGCTTAATATGTCGAAAGCGCATTATGAAGTGAAATTGAAAGACTTGGAGGAAGGGAAAAGCAGCCTAGAAGGAGGGATTGAAGTTTCAATCAATGTTGGAGGAAATACTTTGGATCATGTTCCAACAGAACAGAAGAAACAAATTATAATTTCTGCTCTGAATGCGTTTCATTTAATTGAGGGCCTTGTAGCTCGTCTGGCTGAATGTATTAATATTAACAAATTGCAAGGGCTTAACATGGATTGTGAATGATATATTATATAAGTTCTTTAATAAACAGTGCTTTTAAAATGAATTTTTCTGTACTTTACCTAACCTTACTATTTTTTGAACACTAATTAATTATATTATCAATTTCACAAATAGAAGTACTAGTATTGTATTATCATCTATAATAAAAATAGATACTTTTGTTAACAGCTATTAGAAATGGGAGTAGATTTATCTTGCCGCTTGCTACCATTGCCAACACTGAGAGATTAATAAGACATTATTGCCAAACTGTTGAGAAAGAGAAAATTAATTATGATCAAAAAATAGTAGCTGTGATTCAGCCTGAGCATGATGAGGAAGATCAGTATGAACAAAATGTAAAAGATCGCATTTTGGAAAAAGCTCTCGAGTTTGTGCCTACAAATGGATGGACCGTAGAAGCCTTACGTGCTGGGGCAGAGGCAGTAGGATATCCTGGCATCACACATGGACTTTTCCCTAATGGGGGTGCAGATCTTGTCCACTACTTCAATGTTAAATGCAATCAAAACCTGGTGGATCAAATGAAAACTGTAAGTTCATATAGCCACAATATTGTATATGCCTATACAATTTTTGTTTAACAACAGCTAAATAAGAATTATGTTTCACATAGTGGACTGTGGAAGACTTGAAGGGAGATAAAGTACCAGTGAAGTTTGTGGAAAACGCCATTGTATCAAGGCTTTTAATGATAGATCCTTACAAGTGAGTTTTTTTAGCAAACATGCAAGTAAATATCTTAAAATAATTCATTATATATGAATTAAGAATACCTTGTTAATGTTTCAGAAGCACATGGGCTAAAGCAATGGCAATACAAGCTCTTCCAAACAATGTTCCTAACTGTTTAGCAACACTGTTGTCTTTGGTAGATGATATTTGTTACCTATCTGGGGACAGAAGCGTTGATGTGAGTATTAATTTTTTAAGACAGTATAATAATTCAAAATCAGGTGTTACACAGTCAGGTGAAATGGTTTTGCAGTTAAAACACATTATCCCTTAATTATAACTATATATAAATTAACATTTAAGTTTGACTTAATTATACAGCGTGTATAACAATAGTGAAAATCTAATTCTTTTTCTGTTACGACATTTGATGTTTTATAGTGCTAGTAGCAAGTGCTACCTTAAGAAAATTCATATTTATGTTTCACAATGACTGTCTAATTGTGTGCAATACTTTAGATTAATGAAATTATTTTTTAGTTCAACTGGTATGTCCGTCGAGTAGGCGTAGCTGGTATATACAAAGCGTCTGAGCTGTTTTACCTCACAGACAACAGTCAGAATTGCAATGCTACAAAAAAATTTGTCCAGTCACGCATTAAGGATGCACAGCTTATCCAATCGGCACTCAACTTGAACCCTGTGAACGCAGCCTCTGCAGTCCCACAAACTCTCACTGCTGCATTCGTAACGGTAATATGTTTGATGGTTACTGAAGGTTATAAAATGTAATGTTATAAGTAAGAAAGAATATCACCATAATTATAAATTATTTGATTTGAAATTACCATTTTTTTCATTTCAAAAACCAGATAACACTCACCAAATCTGTGGTAAACCATTATTAATCTCCACTAAATACAACATAAATGCACATTTAATGAGTATGCCATTTTTGTAAAATGGCTGTTGTCTCTACCTTATAACTGTTTGTTTTATTAATATTTTTTATTTCCAGGCGAAGAACATACTAGGAATAAATACCTTAAAGTAGCTCCAAAGATATGCAGTACTTGTGGGAACCATAAATGAGACATATTTTTGTGGTATTAGTATTATATATTTTCGTTGCAATTTCTAGAAAATAAATTATGTAGGTGTGATGAATATACTTTTTTAATTGTATCTTATAAATGAAATTAAAACCCAATAGTAGCATAATACAATGGTCAGTTTTTATTAAAAATATAATGTTTCTGTATAAAATTTATATGAACACTTTTTACATATTACTTTAAATTACAATAAATGACATAGTGATTTACATTATTACATGCATTGAATATCTCAAAGGCACAAAGTTGTGACTATGTGGATACAATATAGTCACTGCCTAAAGACACGTAATTTATAAGATTTGGCGGGAGAGGTAACTTATTCCATACATTAGCTGAGACTTTCTGTCTTATTACAAATCTGCAGATCATTTGTAGAGAATCCAATTTGGCAAACCTGAAACAGATCAGTTACATTATAATACTTTGAACGTGTGATTGCTGAACATTTACAATACAAACTACTATAACTACCTGTTCAAGGGTCTTGCTAATTTGACTGGCATTTCAAACAAATTTGATTTGACATCAACTGTAGCACAATGTTCCGATATCCTATTGGCTGGCACAAATGTTTCATTATTCAAGGAGAAGAGTCCGTTTGCATGACGTAGCCTAGCATGTAAAGTCCGTCCCACACAGCGAAAAGAGACACAAAGTATGTGGCGAGAATCATATGAGTCTCTTACAAGGAATACATTGTCATGTTGCCCTGCTAGTAGTTCCTCAGCTTCACTAGATGTTATGCCACCCCAGTACCAACCATGCCTGAAAAAATTCTAGTGTTACAAAACAGTGCTGTCTTTCAGTGCAAAGAGTGCCAGCTGCAAGTTTTCTAAATTTTTACGACTGTCACAGTTTATTTTCTAAAGTAAGTGTATTATGTATGTTTTTGCTGGTCATGAACCTAATATCTATTTTTTTTCTTATGCCAGCTCTGAAAGTGTTGAATGAAACGGAGTCTTTGATGTTTCTATTTATTTAAGGGTTCACTCACTTGGATAACTGGCAGTAAATGGCACAAGTTTCCAAAGAAGAATGTTGATGATGTCCTCTCAACACTGAATGGCCATCTGAGTGCTGACACTTTATTGCTTGTTTACTAGATTCAGCCTCCTTTTTAGCCTCACAGCCAATACTAATTCGCTTTTCTGACGACGTACAAGGCTCACTCTTCGTTATACTGGAGTAATCTACCGTATTCTTACTAAAGTACCTCTGTAACGATCTCACACTGCCTGTTATAAGTAGCCTGTTTTTCCAAAACTTTACAAACATATTGGTATTAACTGAAGGTTTCCGCTCGGGTAAGAACACACAATTAACAATATCCGTATTGCTTAGATCTCTTTTATTATCGATAGTTCTTTGTAAATGTTTACATTCCATCGGTTTCAACCACTTGCGAAGACAACCAGTGGTGAGCCATTTACGGCGATTGCAATGAGTACACCTTTCGTAATTCTTGTTCATTTTTTACAAACATCAAAGTAAATTATTAAATTGAAGATCTTTATATAATGTAATAGTGAATGAACTATAGATTAACGCAAAATATAGGAATTTTGTACTGGTTCGCAACAAAAAGTACTTGATTCTTTGACATTTTACATGTTCCAGTTTATGACTTTTCGTCTTCCCTCTATGCTTAAGTGCTTAATTAAGCAAACCGAGATAGCGTTATAGACTTTATGGAAGAAAGACTAAGATGTTGATTATTAGCATTTCTGAATAAAATCGAACACCAAAATATCATAGACTATAACATTTTTAGTGTTGCTAATGTAATGAATTGTACTTCAGCCGATGGGAGTTGCTTATGGTATGGAGGGGAGAAAGGATGACTTCGTCATTGATTAAAACAAAAAGTAGATTTGTCTGTGGTATCTCTGAGGTGTGTGTTGTGGTGATTTTTATGTCAATAATTTCATTATTTATTGAAATGTTGTCTACTATTTGTTAAAAGTGTCCAGAATTAAATTAGTTTCTTTGCAATTATTTTGGAAATTATTATGGTTATTTTGTGGGGTGGGTAATATAGTTATCCGTTGGTGTAATGACATTAAAGAAAATTGGAAAAATGTCAACAAAAACCCAAATATCGACAGAGCTAAGCGGTAAGTTTACCAATTTAAACGTAGGATTGAAATTGTATAGTATTACTGCAGTTTTAAAGTAATACAATTGTAATATATGATACATTACACATTTATTTTTTGTGACCCCAAAGTATATACCCATTTCCTTTTTGTTTACAGAAAGCATTAGCAATGTTTTGGGGAAAAACGTTAAAATTCTGTACAAATCCCTCATACGTATGGAATCAAGAGGAGACAAAAACGACAACAGAGTCTTGGTAAGTATTGAGGGAGAGACTATATTATATTTATTATTATTAGTGCATATATAAATTTTACACTTGTATAAAATTATTTAGACGTGTTGTGCCTTACACCAGACATACAATTATGTGTTTGTATAAAGATACCTCACAAGATTAAAAAAAATGGATGATAATATTTACAAAGTACTATTTTCCATGATAAAACTACTTATAAGTCCTGAACAATAGCATGAGTCATTTAGGTGTGTCTGGGGCTGCCGTAACTGACTTTGTGTGTGTTCCCTTTGGGTATCCACAATGTTCTGTTATATAAGATTGCACCAATTTACTCTGAAGTTTAGTAATCATTTAATCTGTTACTAATGGATATGGCGCTCGAATGTACAATTGGTATGAAGGGCATTCAGATCTTTTACAGAGGTGTATATATATGTTGTTGAATAATTAATTCGAATTTTTTAATATTACAATCATTGTAAACCTTATCTCTACTCATAAAATTAAAAAGACATAATTAATTTATAAAAGATAGGTGTCAAATTATTGCAACAAAAGCTCATAATTAGTTTTTTGGTCTCATGTTCGAGAAATTCTTTCGATTTAAACCAACCTGATTAGCATGTTTAAGTGGCACCATTTATTTATTTATTTTATTTATTTATTTACTTACTACTATTGTAAGTAATGGGAACAAAATAACTAGTAATTAATAATGACAGTCATTTATATTAATGTTTTATTGTTCTACTGCAGGATTGCAGTAGGGTAAAAGTAGAATTTGCCTTTTAATAAGGGGTCTTACTGAGAAATATACACAGGTGTACAGTAGAACAGGTGATAATGGTTCACAGACAACATTCCTAAATTTTGAAAGATTTAATATGGTCAATATTTTTCAGGTTGTGACAGCATTCAGATTGTTTATCACTACAACAAAAGTACCAACAAGGGTAAGAATGACTTTTCGCTTTGTTAGTTACTTTCTATCACCCCTCTTTTCAGAGTTTTATTTGTTTGGAAGTAGAAGGAATTTAGCAAAAAAAAAAAAATTATAGAACTACATATCTCACAAATGGAGTAGGTACCTACTTTTCATTCAAATCCACAACAAGCATTTGTACATAATAATGTTGTGTATGTTATTACAGTCGAATCTAAACACGTTTTCCTTATACATAAGTATAATAAATAAGTAAACAAATTTTATATGTATTAGCTGACGTTAACTTGAGCAGTTTCACAAAAAAGTAAATACATTATGGTGCATCATTAGTATTATGTATGATCTATGATGTGTTCCAGTGTAGTAGTAGGCTGTAGGAAAAATCTATGTATTATAATTTTATTGTTTTTATTGTACACTTATTACAATGTGTTTTTTATAAGACAATGTATCATAGACTTTGTTCAGTGTAAATAGAGCTTGCAGTTGACTATAATTTTAGTAAATATGTAACTCAGAATTAGATAAATTTAAAATATAAGTAATCCTTATTATTTTTTTAGTGTATTTCCATAAAACCAATATGGACTTCCAGAAGAATATATTAGAATAATTACATATAGAAGATGGTTGTAGCCATATCTGTACAACTACTTTCTGTTTATTAAACATTTCCCTCTGCAGGGTTTGAAGGAACTTATGAAGTTACTAAAATTTATAAAAATTTCATTTAAGTATAAATTTTTCACCAATTAGGTAGACAATGGATTTCACTTAATGGAAATAGAAGCTCTGGAAAGCAAGAAGGCCAACCATTTGTCGATAACGCTCATTCATGAACATAAGCCTGTCTCCATTCTTATAGGTAAGTGTCTAATTACATCCATTGTTCGTTTAATTGGGCTATAGTGTGACATTGACACCATGTCAGATAATAAACCATTTTCCTGCTATTTTCCTTTCTATAGTTATATAATCATTGCTTTGTGTCTCATTTCACATTTATGACTCAGTCTGAAGTATGATGGTATGTTTTATTAATTAATTAATAGGTACCATTGATTCACTAATGTGCACTGTGTATTTTTTTTATTTCCCAAGTGGTGTTATTTCGTTAGTTATGTTATTTCCCAATTTTTTTTACCTTGATTGTATAATTTATTGTTATCAAGATTACTAAATGTAACCTTATGAAATTTTCTAGTACTAACAACCAATTAATTCTGTAATACATATAATTGCATAAATTTTATATTATGAAACAATTTTATACTATGTAAGTGGTAATCAGTTTTAAATTTTCTTGTTTCCTCATCGCTTGTGTTGCGGTCACCAAGCTGTTATTTAGATCGCGACGCGGTCACATTAGGAACGTTGTTAGTACGCCAATGACTAATTCGAGATTATAATTAGTGTAGTTTTAGAGTTCAAAATACACTACGAATGTTTGAATCGAATGACTTCCGATTATACACCTATGAATCATGTAAAGAATAGAACTTGTGTGGAAACTGGCATGTTCCGCAACTTCGTGTGGGCGAAAGGTCAAATTACGTACCAACTGATAAAATGTGCATTTCAATTTAAATGCACTGCCTATAAACACTTTAGAGGACTTTTACAGGAAACCGTGTGCTGGTTAACATTTACGTTTGTTTATACACTAGCAATTAACAGTACGCTAATTCGAATTTTGTCGATTTTGCGTTTTTAATGCCAAATTATTCAGCTAATTTCAATTAAATTAAAAACTAAGAACATAGTAGAAATTTAATGTTCATATATTTTATAGTCTACGATGAATGACTTGTATTTAAAAAATATTAATTTATGTTTCAATGCCTTTTCATAGGCTCTAGTGAAAAGTTGCAATTTTTAAGTTAGCGTAGTGTTATTGCTGGTGTCGATCTACCAACATGGGGCACGTATACTGCTACTGGGTACGCGTCTATTTGTAATAATCCTCATAATCCTCTTTAGAAGAGGATGCCGTGTCAAGGGCCGCTCTGGTCCATTGAGGGCTGGTGTTTTCACTAATCTTTTAATGATTTTGTTAAACTTGTCCGATAAACAATTTTTTAAATTATACTTTTATAAACAAATATAAAACAAACCACATAAAAAGATCTTTCAAGCCGTTTGTCACAAAAGCAAGATTTTGCAAAAATTTAAATGAAGTAATTGTACTCAATTAAGTATTATCGCTTAGATAACGCAATGAAAGTAAAAATGATATATTATACACAGGAAATAAAACTATTTTTCGGATCTAAACCACGTATATTTGTGTTTTTTTTTCAAACGAATGTTTGATGCTCTTTACTGGTCACGGCTGACTGAATTATGTATCTGCGTGTAACAACGCTACTTTTTGGACGAGTTGTAGGTATATGCGTACCTACTCAGTACAAAACAAGTCTTATTTTCTGTGTATATTACGTTATTTGTGTAACACACGATTGTACTTTTTAGGATACGTAAAAAAAACGAACGAAAAGTTCAGTTTGCTTCCTTATCCCGAGAAGTTTACTTTGTCAATACAATAACTAGATACACATTTCATTTACAGGCGAAGAAGGGTCATCGGAAGGTGTGATAAACGTGATCCACGCATTAGCAGCGGCATTCGATGACCTGTTCCCCGGTGTCGCCGTAGAGGACATCATAAGCAAGGTCAGCATTTAGGCATGACTCACACCTTTCGTTTCAATTTATTTTCCCCACACATTGTAGCCAATTTATACTCAGCAGCATAATAAAAACTTTATTTGCTTAATTAAATGGTTCTCATTTGGACTAAACATTCGAGTAGATGGTTATAGAGGTTGAAGTTTTATGAGTAACATTATTATATTTCAGAGTTAACTTTTATAGACGAATTAAATAAACGTTGATTATTTTGTTCTAAAGGCGTCACTAAACCGAGACAAAATACAGTATAGTTATGGTAAATAAAGAAATAAGAGTGCGCAAATGAACTTTGAACTTGGAATAAAACATTTGAATCACGAACTGGGTACGCAATAGTCGGCCTCTTTCCGCAGAACTGCTTCTATTGTAAATATAACCGACAACTTCGACATTTTGTTTTCGTAATATTAACTTTGTTATAAAGTAGACGATTGTAAAACTGAGTAACACTTTTTAGATTATATGTTATTTCATAATATTGACAGAATAGTGTGTTTTTAAAATGGGAAAGTATGGGGAAATCCGAAACCATAGAAGATACAAAGAAACTGTCGTAGGAACCATCAAGTTTTTTTTTTATGTAAAAACAATTTTGGCATACTCAATTTTTTGCTCAAGCGTGAGTTGTCCGTAAAAATGAATAAAATCGATTAAATTTTTTTTAGTGCTTATCAACTCAGTTTCATGAAGGGATCATTTCATTGTATGAGACGGAAAAATCGGTAGCTAACTAATTATTTTTTCATACAAAATGAATAAAATTGACAATGTTTTTTAATGCGAATAGTCAGTTTCTTATAAGTATGACTTCATTGTATCGGAAGAAAGAAATTGGGACAGCAGAAGTTGATGAAATGTAATTTAAAAAATTTCGTACAAAATGACCCATACATTATTTTAATATGGTATTTAATATATGGTATTTATACCATAATATAACATTTTATTAAATACCTTAATTTAATATAATAAATTAAATTAAGATATTAAGTACGTAAAAGGGTTCAAAGATTTGTAATAAGGAAAGATTTAATATATATTGTAACTTGTATCAAATTCTTTCAATGATTTGCTATTTGTAATATAGAATATACTTCACTCAAAAACTTTTAATGGCACAGGTGAACCTTCCATTTCAAATACAACCAGTTACCGGCACGAGGAAACACTCAACTTGCGGCGATTTCTCAAATCAATATGCAGCGATGTGCGATCTTTGCCAAACGCCCTTCAGGTAATATCCTCAAGCCATCAACTCTACTTTCTAGATGTTTGTTAGGTTTTTTTGGTGTGACTGAAGGTTTAAAAGGCCTTACTCTATTTTGTTGCAGGTAATATATCAAAAGTCTTAGGAAATGAAACTATTTAAGACCTGTAAAGGGCCTGTAACGTGCGTTGTTTGAAAAAACAAGTATACCCGAAATAATTGTTTCATTTCCTGTGTGTTACAATCGCGAATATAGTTTAGAACGTTTGGAGTAATTTCGTTATAATACTGTTTTTATTTGTTTAACCGACTTCAAAAAAGGAGGGGGTTCTCAATTCGACTATATATTTTTTTGTGTGTATGTTATGCGATTACTCTGGCATTTGTGAACCCATTTTGATGCTTCTTTTTTGTTGGAAAGAGGGTACCTCAGAAGCGGTCCCCTTTAAATTTAAAGAAAATATCACCACCTCTAAAGACCACCTGGCAAACTAGCAGATGAATGACATTTGAGGTCGGTTTTTTAGTATTCTATACTGAGATTATTATGATACCAAGTGCAGGACGAACAAGTCTTGCGGCTCGGTGGTAAGCGACATGCCTGTGCATAACAAATGATAAAGGTGTTTGACCCGACCGCTGGTCGTGATGGTCTCACTTAATCCTATATAAATTGATAGCTGACATTGATATAAAGTAACAACAAATATAAAAATTAACATAAGCTACCCATGTACCTTGTTCAAACCCTTGAATATTAATACATAGTCATAGGTTATAGAACACTATTCTAGTCAACTAGAGTTGTCGTTTAGCTGGGAAGTAGACATGAGTAAATGAAGAAAACTATGAAAAAGTGTTTACTAGATTGCTATTCCAGTTACTAATTACTCATGTAAATTTGGCTTCATGCAACATACTGAAATAAATAAATAACGCACACACTTATAGCCCTGCAATAGGGAGACCCTATAGCGCGGGTGCCATACGCATATAGCCAACCACAAATTACACCCAAACTCACGAGAGAAATAAATGTAGGTCATACAAATACTTCTCCCGGCCCGGGAATCGAAGTTTTGACTTAGAAAAGAGTACTGTATTATATCTCGCTACATCTGTAGTCATCTAAGCTATGATCATACTTTATTTTTATTTGTATTATATTATTATGTTATTTTTGGAAAACTTACAGCTAGGTAACAAGAACAGAATGGTAAGTATGATACATGCCTGACAAACCAGTGTGTGTATTGCTGAGGGCTAATTAAAAGTTTGCACAGATCATTATTTACAGTAAGTTGACGACTTAATAAAAATATAAATAAAATTAAATACGTGACAGTGCACTTCAAATATTTGCTATTTAAAACTCATGAGTGGCACTGCAACTCTCAGTGTCACTTCCCACTAGCTAGACGCACAACAAGTTATCCCTTCACTGGAATGATAAAAAACGGTATAAACAGCTAAATCAAAATAAACAAAAAAGAGTAAACAAAACTTATTAGAGAACAGGCCGTGCTATTGTTTTTTAAATACTTTCTAATGAAAAAATAAGCTCATCACTGATTAAATGGAATACGTATTTTTTAAATCTTGTATTTATTTGTGTTATTTCAGAGCTGAGGTGGCGTGGGATATAGATACTATCTATTTGGCGCACGATATTCGCATGCTGCATTTAAAAGACTTCGATCATTTGGACCAGAGGTAAGGTTAAGCTTTTATTGTTGTTGTTTCTGCGATTGTTATAAAATTATTATTGATGTAATCGTGAATAATAATGACGTCTTCTACTGCTTAACTTACGTATCGTTTTTGTTTGTTTACGGTTTCGGGAACTAATTACGTATTTACGGAAACAATAACTATTGTTTCCGTAAATACGTAATTAGTTCCATGTGATTCCAAGTGTTATTGCGGGTGCAGACGTCTTAAGGCCCCTACATACGGGACGAATCGGTAGTGTATGTTTTATCTAAATCTACAGCATAAAACCCTTTGGTTGGTTCAGCATAACAGTGAGAGTGTTGAATCAATGACTGGAAAAAATAAATAGTAAAATTAAGGATATTATACATTGATTACTATACGGTGTGAAAACACAACGCACTCCCCAGCGAATAATATGGTAACCGATAATTCTAAATTTTACAGGAAAAATAAACTATTTTTTGTGTATATCTCGGCACAGGTGCATCGTGGGATAGTTATTTCTATGTCAAAACAAAGCTAATTTTTTTTATGATATTTTTGTATTAATTTTACTAAATAAAGTTATTGATGAAAGTAATATTACTGAAATTACAGGCCCAAAATATAGTATGCAATGCATCATTACCGTATTATTCGCGTGTAAACCCAACGATTTCGTAGTCAGTATTAATGCATTACCGTATTATTCGTTGAAAATATGTGTGTCAAAGAAGGTAATGTGATATTACGGCTTTATTCGGATGAAATCCAAGCGATAGTGTATACAGTAATAGTACATTACGGTAATATTCGTTGATGTATGGTATCAAAAATGAACAGTAAGGTAATTATGCAAATACATTCTGTATAAAAGTAACAATAAAAATAAAAATAACACACGAATATAACAAGCTATAATTGTTTTAGCTTTACATGAAACACAATATGTATTTCTTTCGCGAATAAAATGGTAATCATCACTTACGGAAAAAAATTAACGATTGCGTAATCTGTATTAATTTGTTATCGAATAACGGTGGATTTGATACGATTATCGTGACGATTCATCGAAATAGAATATTGTCTCTATGTGTGGGATTTCGAACTGTATTTGATTCGATTTGTATATGTTTAACTATTTTATGTACAGTTAGCTCTGTGTTGTGATAAGTAATGATTATGGTGGGTGTCATTGTCATTCTATAAGTGATGGTTTATCAAATAATTTTGTTTGTTCTACTTACTATGCTCGTATCTGATGGATAAGCGTTAGGCATATTAACATTCTTCTTATGATAGCGACGCCGATACCGTTATCGGAGTTAGTGCCGAACATTTCTGTTCAGCGCCTTAAGGCCCATTTAGATGGAGAGAGTTTATCGCACGCTTCGTGACGAAAAATCGTACGCGATTATCGTAAGCAATAATCGCCATAAGATTATCGTATCATAATGTTTACATTCAGGCAAGAACTAAAATCTCGCCTACGATGATGTCATACGAGATTCGCAAGCAACTTAATCGCCGCCGCCTCGACTGTTTACACAGAGAAATATGTAGTAAGGAGATTCTTGCTTACGAGTTTCGACTTGCCTAAACACGGTCTCGTATGACATTTTTTCAAGTTCATACGATTATCGTACAAATCGGTTCGAACCGTTTTGAGTACGAGAATTGTCATTCTAGGTCAGTGATTACTGCGGTATTGACTATACACATATCAAAATGACGCAAAAATCTCATAATATTAAGTTCAATGCACTGTATAAAAATATACATTTTTAATTTTTTTTTTAATTTTATAAAATTTCTTAATCCAAAATTTTTTTTCGTTCTCGCTTCATTAATTCTTGTCTTAGAAAAGCAGTGATAATCTAAACACCCTCGCGCACTGCACTCGTGATAGAAACGGCTGGCACAGAAACTCGAAATACGATTTTTGCTTTCGATTTCTGTTTACACGGAGACGTTCAATATTCAAAGGCGAGGCGATTATCGCTCACGTGGATGGTCGATAATCGCGAATGCTTTGACGAGGAAAATTTTTTATATTTTTTCGATAATCGTATCTTCGAGGCGATAAACTCTCTCCATCTAAATGGGCCTTTAAGCGCCCAATAACACTAAGCGAAAGATTTCGCGCGGCCGCCCGCACTTTCACTTACATTAATGGCGTATCCGCCCCCGTAGCATGGCTATGCATGATAATCGCAACGCGCACGATAAACGTTGTAATAAGCGTACTTAAGCTATTGACTATCTAAATTAGTTCTGATTGAGACAGCCAATAGCGTGCGCTTATTTTAATTATATCGCGCGGGTCGCGACTATCATGCGTAGCCATGCTACGGGGGCTGATTTCTATTTACTAGGCAACAACATTTCAATTCCTCTGAATAAGACACGATCGCCACGTAGACCAAAGGCAAACCAGTGTCGCTCGCGCGCCCGGAATGCTCATTTAAGTTAAAACGTAAAAGCTAAATAAATAGAGCATACTTTGCCATGACAGTTACGATGAAATTCGTGTCGAATATTTTCGCCCTTACTTTCATAATGGATGGGATGGTTCCCGCGGGGGGCCAATACGGTTTGAAAACTTCACACTCCATATTAAATGACTTTGCAGATATGTGCAGGTTTCCTAACAATGTATGCTTCACCGAGAAACTCATGCTTAGATTCAAATTCAATTTCGCACATAATTCCGAAACCACGCACTCGTCCCTCGTGAGGAGGTAGTTCAAACCTTTAGGTCGCGGCTATTTTTTGAAGTGTCTATTATTATCTGTGTAGTAAACATTATTTGAAATTTCCAAATCCACTTGAGCGCTTATCTTTTAAACAATGACATTGTATTCATTGTTAAGCCCAACCACTTATCTTCTGTTTAGATTGAAAGAAGGAAACAAAAAAAATTCGTCCGAATATCGACTTTACTGACAACGCTCAAATATTCAATTGGAAACACATAACATGAAGTAAACCTGTGTATTGCAGAAACTTAAAAGTATACCAATACCACGTGTATTGTTACTTATTTTCATTTCATTTTTTTTCATCAATTGTTTTGTAACAAAAGTCTAAAAGAAACTACCCAAATGTTGCATACAATGAATTTAAAATGTTATGGCTTAAAAATGTCGTTGTTTAAAAGATTAGCGCTCAAGTGGATTCGAACATTTCAAATAATTCGTACTATAAACATAAAGTAATTTTTCAGAGATTTGATACCCCTTCTAATCGCACTACAACATAACACGTGGTTCACGGGGGTATGTGGCGATGGGGTTCGACCGGGGGGTGAGGCGTGGGAGGCGCTGTGCCGGGTGGTGCGCTGCGCTGCACCTCCGCCGCAGAACTTGAGCTGGCGCGGCTCCGGTCTGCGCCACGACCACGCTGCCAGATTGGGCCACGCACTGCTGCGGGCCAGGACGGCCCCTGCTATGCACACTGTGGACTTCTCGCAGAACCATATTGAAGACAAAGGTATACGCACCCACATTATCTATACAAAATACTTGCTTACTATTGTTAGTCGTGTAAACATTATCCTGTTGAATTACTGGTACAAAAACCACTTATTGCAACGCCACAACACAAAAAGAATAAAAAAAGACAAAGCAGAAGTAAAACAAAAAGTATAACAACAAAAAACAACGAAGCAAATATAACAAATTTGAAATAATCAATACAGTTTGAGTAACTGTCACGTGACTGCGACTTTTGTAAAATGATCCACTCGGCTAATGCCACAGCCGAGATTAAGCTGTGACGTTGGTTGTTAGTGTACCTAAAATCGATAATACACACACACATGCATGTTTAGTTAACATATTTTACCATCGACTTTCAACAAAATGCATTAGTTATTTAGATTTTGTGACTTAGCAGAAACAGATGAAAATTAAAAAATGTGACAGACAGTTTAGTTATGATTCAATCAAACTTTAATAAACAAAAAACTCTTTCAATTAAATTTACAAGAACGCAAAGTCAACCTCGAACCACTCGACAAACCTTAGGAAATTAAAACAAATGAATGGAAAAAAATGACAGTCGACTAATTGTTTATTTTCAAATTCGACCTGAATAAAAGTGAAATAACCAACCAGTAGGGTTAGCACGACAGGGGCGACTTGCGCGAGAGTGACATAAAGCGCAAGATACTGCTATTCTCGCATAGAATATCCTGCGCTTTATATCGCTCTCGCGCAAGTCGCACCCTGTCGTTGTACTGACTTTGAGAAAAAAGCAGCATTATTCTTGATTATCTCAATAAATACTACGAGGACGAACTTCGTGGTATTGAGATAAATAAATCAGGTATTAACGCCATTTTGGTCAGTACAGTCTTAATAAGACTGTTAACAGATTGACTGCATGTTTGCAGTTCATGCGTGACATTGATAACGACATAACTGCCTCCGTGGCCGAACGGTTACCATGACTGGACTGTCACGCAGAGGTCCAAGGTTCGATTCCCGGGTCGGGAGAAATATTTGTATGGCCTACATTTATTTCTCTTGTGAGTTTGGGTACAATTTGTGATTGTCTATGTGTGTGTCCATGGCACCCGCGACCCAGGGTTTCCCTAGTGCGGGGCTATGTTGAGTGTGCGCGTTATTATTAAAGTTTCACGCATTAATTGATCTCGACTTTATGAATTATAATATTATAATAAGACGAAAATTATAGAATTTAGACCACGACAAAAATCAGAATTAGGATTAAATCTATGTGCAAATGGTAAAAATATAGAGAAAGTAACAAAATATAATTTCTTAGGAATAGAAATTGACTCGCATATTGATTGGAAATCACATGTAGAAAAAATTAAAATGAAAATGTCTCAATTCACCTTCGCTTTATACAAACTTAAATGTGTCACAAATGTAAAAACAGCATTATCAGCTTACTACGCGTATGCGTTTGCATGGTTAAACTACGGCTTGATACTGTGGGGGAACAGTACCCAGGTAAATGACCTCCTAATCTTAGAAAAAAAATGTATACGTCTCATAATGAACATTAAACAGACGGAATCGTGTAGACCACATTTAAAAAAATTAAAAATGCTAACCCTGCCCTCTATGTACATATTAGAAATTGCTAAATTTATTAGGAAAAACCGGGAATTATTTATTAATGCCCTACCCACTTCACTAAGACCCTCTAGATTTAAGAATACATTAAGCCTTCCGCAATGTACACTTAGCATGTATCAGAATAGTCCGTACTATAATGCTATAAAAATCCACAATAAACTACCCGAGCACATTAGAAGTGAAACTAATTATAGAATTTTCAATAACAAATTAAAAATATTGTTAATTGACAAATGTTATTATAATTTAAATGAATTTTATAATGACAAATTAATGTAATTTTGTAATTAAACTAAAATGTTATGATATTTTATGTATTTGACGAAGACCAATGATGAATACTGACATGTAATTTTAATCATGTAATTTTAAGTTATTATTTTGTTTTATATAAAATAGGGACCAAATGCCATACCCCCGCGGGGTGTCATAGCAATAAGATTTTTAATGGAAATATATTGTTGTGACTTGCATTAAAAAAAAAAGAAAAAAGAAAAAGAATTCGGTATTATGTAGTATTCGGACTTTATGTAGTAATACGTGAAGTCGTCGCATGAATTTGATAACGATTTCACGCATTAACTGCAAATATGCAGTCAATCTGTTAGCAGCTTAACACGCAGCATTGTTTGTGATCTATTCATTATTCTTTATGTCAAGAGTTGATATTTCATGCGTTATTAAAATCTGTATATTGAATATACGAAAAGTTATTTCCGTTGTCTGCAAATCTCTTTTTGCAATATTAAGAATCTTGCTCGTTTTGTTATGTGTTAATGTATTAATAATTAAATATATTTACAGGTGCTATTAGTATTCTCTCAGGGTTAGCGAACAACCCGTGCGGGTTGCGTTCTATATCGCTGTCACAATGCGGTTTAACTGGCAAGACTGTGGTGCAACTAGCCGCCATTTTGAATGACAACTTGTGCCATCTTAACACGCTCTCGCATTTAGACTTGTCGCATAATAATCTAAAGGATGATGTACATGTAAGTTTGTCTTTTTTGTAACTGAGATTTTCCCGCAACTTTTGTTGTGCAAGCCTACAAATAGGAACTATAGAACATTTTTGTAGTGTAAACGCAATAATGTTTTGTTGTTAGAATTTTAGTTAGTTAAATTATACCTCTTTCAGATATTATATACTCCCGGACACATAATTCGAGCCACCTCGCAATTTTGTCGCAAAGGCCTAGAATACAAAAATAGTGTTAACATCGAAGAAAAAGTTTTCCCTCGGTTTTGCAAATCTAAATTCCCAACAAGGACTTATGGAAAAGATGTTTCAAAATTGCGTAATAGTTGTTGATCAATCAAACATTGTTTAAGTTAGGGCCCTTAATACTGAAAATGCGTGGTGGCTAGAATTATACGTCCGGAAGTGTATTATATTTAAGCAAGAAGTTTATAAGTCTGTCTTCAACAAAAAGCAGCTAAAACGAACTATGTGAAGAAGCGTATGCGAGGTTCTTCACTCAAAGGCGACGATATATTTATAGATTCTATAGTACATAATATTATGCCAGACCATATGGATGTACATATACCATACTATTCTATAAAAAAGTACTCCTTTCCGTTCAGTGTTTACGACAACATATTGAGTAATAAACATTAATTCCAATGTTACATTTATTAACCAACTCCAAATAAGATTGAGAGTCTATGTGTACAGTAATGCATTAAGTATGAATTATGTAATGTGTTACCTAATCCAGCTTGTAATGTTAGTGGAAACAATCCGTAAATTGTTTTGTTTAGTGGATTAGGTGAAAAAATCCTCATTTACTGTTGCAGAATTTGTACAACTTTCTCGCTCAACCGAACGTTTTGACGCACTTAAATTTGACGAATACAGAGACCACGTTAGAAAACGTAAGTAAATAAACAAATTACTTATACAACTATCAAATAACGTATGTCTATACTGTTGACAAACGTTATTTAATAGAGTGATGCATGTATTTGTTGTTTTTTAATGTTGATACATTTTTACGTCAAACCTCTTAGAAGAAGGGTTTCCTTTTTATTACATAAACGAGTAGGTAATCTTTTTAATGGACACCTATTTATTTCCCTCTTAAATAAAAATTAGTTCTACTCATATAAATAGACAAACTCCTATACATGCATACATTTCCGAGTATACTGGATAGAAAGGACGTGACACGGCTATTCTCCACGGAGGGAAAGTATCTTAAATATCGTAGATAGAAAATTTACTAAAAAGACTTAATTTTGATTTTAAAAACAAATCGAATTGCATTCAAAGATTTTTACACAATCGCCTTTCTGAACTGGGAATCCAACCCGCCAAATGTGAAAAAAAAAACACCTGTAATTTTACTATACTGATCGAAAGCCTCAATCATAAGGATTGTTTTCTTCTAAATAACATAGCATTTTAAATAAAAGGAAGACCGATAAGTTGCCTTTTAAGACTAATTCTTTTCTTAAATTTTTTTTATTATAATATCAAGTGACGGGACGAACAAGTCGTGCGCCTGATGGAAAGCGACACGGCTATCCTTGAAAGTTGCAATGTCACTCAGAGCTTTAAATCGCAGAGGGGAATTCCATTGCGCCCGTCACCCTCAGGCATAAGTTAACAAGTCCCATGTGCCTGTAATTTCACCAACACCCTTACCGTTCAAACCCGAAACGCAGTAATGCTCACATTACTGCTTGGCGGCATAAATAAGCAAGGTGACAGTACGTCTCTGGACGAACTCTTCCACAAGGAGCTTTACTGCTACAATACTTTAAAATTTGCTCATGTTATGTACCGTGTATAGCGTTTTAGACTTTACCTTAAAATGATAATGTGAAATCGCCAGTAGACCGCCTACGCCTGTATGGTGGACTATGGAGAACACCCAGATATGAAAAGCGGCTGTTCAGACGCGGACAACTTAGTGGAAATCACAAGACGCCCTTGGATGCAGCGTGGTGGCATTCTGCAGAGGCCTATATTCTGTAGGAAGGATGTCTTCTGATTGTTGTATACTTATTTTAGTGATAGCGTTAGATGGTTTGCTCTTCTTGTGTACTGTATAATTACTGTAGTTATAGGTGTGCCATAGTAGTTCAAATGAAAAAAGTGCATATCTATGTGATTTATTCCAGATGTGGGGTGCCTTGCTGAGGGGCTGTGCAGCACGTCTGTCGTCGCTGCTGGTGGGCCGCAACCCGTGGTCTGCCGTCCGCCGGCCCAAAGACCCCCCGCCTTCCTTTCGCCAGTTCTTCACCGCTTGCCTCGCCCTTACGAATCTCGACTTCTCTTATTGCAAAATGCCGCCAGATGCTTTAAAGTGAGTTTTATTGTGTTCGTAATTTGTATATTACTTCTTTTTTAATTTTAAACTAATCGATTACTGTGATCAACAGTGTCACCTTGGCTGCTATATAATTATATGGCTTTACATTTATTCATATTAAGGGAATTTTAATATATTATGTCTTCATTAGTCTTAACCGAAAATTCTCGGAATTATATAATGAAATTCTCTACCTAACTTTCGCTTTTCAATCCGATAGGAGTTTGTTGCTGGGGCTAGCATGCAACGAGAGCGCAGCTGGAGTACAACTAAACCTGTCAGGTGTACTGTCATCGTCACAAGTCGCACACGTTTTGGAGTCTTGCATACATGGTGTACGGTGTTTGCAGTCGCTCGATCTTTCTGATAACAGTCAGTATTATTTACACATTTTTTATGAATATTTGGTGATATTAGGGCCTGGTATATTACGACAAATTGAAATGATGATTGATTAGTTTGATGTTGTACCTACATATGTATTAAATAATTTGGTCATAATATATTAAACCTGTACGAAAATTGGCAGAGATACTGTCTATTAAATAAATTAGTCCGCCGATATTTGTGTTCGTTTAGAGCAACATACACATTTAGAGCATGCTGTTAATACCTCCATTTTGTGCCACGAGTTGGGCCTTAGTTTTGTTTCCATGGCCGGTGCTGGCAGATTTCAATTTTCTATTTTGCTGCCCAGCACTCGAAAGATGTTGATTAAATTTATTAAATCATGATTTTCTCATATAGTTTCTAAGTGTAGCACCAACCTATTATTATTTTTTCTGTTTTACCTAATGATTGACCGGCAGAGAATGCCGTATGGCATTAAGTCCGTCATTAGTACTTTATTGTGTTGTGCAAAACAATTTTTAATAAATAAATATCGAATTAAAGAAAACGCGTCATGTAGTAAGTGTATTGCCGCGCGGTAACGATTTAGTGTTGTCAATTATAGTATGTCATCATTTACCTTATGCGCCCATAGACTACGGATTAGTGACGATAACATAGTTTAGGCAAAGTAATATCTGTGTTCTATTTAGGTATGGAGTTCGAGCTATCTGGCATCGTGCGGGCGATAGGAAAGAATCACTCTATCACACATTTGTCGCTTAGCAAATTGACAGGGAAGAGAGCGTATGCGCCGCCATTGGTTCAGGTAAATACCGCTGCAGAAACTAATTTTCCCAATTAATAAGGTTTAAAAGGCCATTAAATACAAACATTTGGAGGTGAAGTGTTTATATAATTTTTTGATCACATGAAAGTATCAAAAAATTACGATACCCATTACTATTCTCACTTTTCATGAATTATGGTCATATGTGCCCTTGAACCAGAGAAGTTGCTTATCTAATATTACATATATATGCATTGTAGCAATAATTAAATAAAATGAAATGAAATACCAATCCGTATTCGACTAGGGTGGCTTACTATTGCCTAACTCCGTCCTCTCTTGATGTACACCCGTGGCCAATATTGGCATATATATGAGTTAAGAATGATGATACATAAGTAATTTGTTTTCAGGCATTAGTTCACGTGCTTCAGGAGCCAGACACAGCTTTGATGTCATTAGACCTCAGTGATTGTAAACTCAAAGTAAGTAACGTTTGATTTACAATACAAAATAATTCGATTGGTAGCAGTGCAGTTGAAGATAAAATCACTATGGATTTAATGATTATTACTAGTTACAGGTTTTTTATTTTCGGAATACGAATTGCTAAAGAGACGTACGGTCCACCAAATGGATAATGGTTACTTCTATGTATAGAACTTTTTATCGACAGAATTACATTTTACATATTGAGTGTAAAATGGTTAAGCGATAACACGTTGCTGTAAAAAATTTAACTCGCTTCAGTTAGTTAGGAGAGCGGCGACAAAGTGTCTTTTTCTCAAACAAGCTCGGAAATGTTTACATTACTTTCAAAAAAAGCACCCACAAAGTTTCTCATTATGTCTCCGCTGCTCTAAACATTTAAATATATCGTTTAAATATAATCTCAGTACAGAGTACTAAAAAAACCGACCTCAAAAGTACGTGGAATTACATCTATTTGCTAAGTTTCATTGAAATATCCCCTAGTTCGCCACTATACAGGACTTGATACTGGAGATAATCAAAATAGGTTCTCACTACGACACTACTCAAAGTATATCGAGAGAAAAAAAAGTAATTGCTCCTAAATTAAAGTCAGGCGCTATTTATAAAAATGAATCTTCATACGTGAACAGCCACCCTTTGAGGTGGTTGATTTTCTTCAAAATAAAATGGGACCACTATGGAATTACCCCCTTTCCAACAAAAAAACAATTATGAAAATCTGTTCACCAATACCGGAGTTATCGCGTAACATACATACAAAAAAAAAAGAACATACAGTCGAATTGAGAACGTCCTCCTTTTTTGAAGTCGGTTAATAAGCAAAGAGGCTATGAAAACAAACTAAAGAAAAACTCATACAGCCAACTTGCTCACTAGCATCAATGTCTGTAATTGCGAGAACGAAAAACAAATGTCTGTGGTATTATTTATTTTGCGTTTAATTATGATGTACGATGTCCTTTTTTCAAAGTATGTGGCGCAGACACATACTTTGAAAAAAACGGTAAAATAAACGAATACTTCGAAGTTCTATTTTTTTACATTTTCTTCGCGAAAATGAGTTCTTGTGAGAATAGCGAAAATAAATACAATAAAAAATTTGTCATGGATTTTTTAAACATTATTTTTTTACTTTTTCTTTTATATATTCCCCTTCATTCTTTAATCTTTTATTATTTCTTCGCATTGTTTTGAGAAAAGCACTATACAATACTTCGGCTGGAACTAGCATTGCCTGACTCATATAATACAACTCATACTCGTCCGGCAATCCTTTATTTGCAGGCCTACGCAATTATATACTATTATGGATATAAGAGAATATAAAAAAACATACTGTTTAGGGTGACCTGTATGGACTACTCAACGCACTGGGCGGCGCACGCCGACTGCGTACGCTTGACATCGGAGGCAACTTGGCCGGTGACGCCGGCGCGCGACTCTTGGCCAAGGCTCTGCAGTGCAACTGTACTTTGCATACGTTGTACATTGACCGCAATGCGTTTAGTTTACAAGGTAAAAATATCCGATATTAATCACGAAATTATTTACAGACATTATTTTTATTTTTTTACGCACACACTAATAGCCCCGCACTAGAGAAACTCTGTATCGCGGATGAATTTGTGGTTGTCTATAACCACAAATTACGTCTAAGAGAAACTTACATTAAAAATGAGTTACCTAGCCTAGGTAATAAAATTTGTGATGAATATCCTAGAAAAGTTGAATTGAAAATGACATATTCTCCACAAATGTTACTAATTTTCAACCTAATTGTCGCTTAATATCTGTTACATTTCTACCATCAATTTTTGAAAATCTTCAGACTGTTTTACATTTGAAGATATTCTTTTTTGGAGTACACTATCTAGCTCTAAATTTAAATTTTAGTTTTAACTTTTAGTTCATCTATTTTTTAAAGCCTTTTCACACCGTTGGAGCATATATGGACTCATGTATTAGGTATACGTTTAGCTTCTTCCCAGATTGTATAGTCAAGGGCAAAGTAAAATATACAAAGAATTGTTTCAAAGATATGTATCTAAAAACGTTGTCTTTAAATAACCACGTCACCAAAACTCTTTCAGCTGGAGAATATACATGTATGTTGGAAAACTGTTTACACTTTTAATTAATACATATAGCCACGTGTTATTGTAAAGTTTAGTGCATACATTGACGACACACGTGCACGGCCTAACGGTTTGCATTGTCGCCGCTGGACGAGGAGCTCCCGGGTTCAATCCCTGGTAGAACCAATTTCGAAATGAAAGCAATTGGTGTGGTCGTCTAGCACATTATTATTATTACATACATATCAGCACGCCTGTCTCCCACCGGAGGTAACCAGAGACCTCTACGCTCCTGACCAACCTCTTATTATTATTATTAATATTTTTATAATACCAAGTGACGGGACGAACAAGTCGTGCGCCTGTTGGTAAGCGACACGCCTATTCATAACAGTCACAGTGCCATTCAGAAAAGCAACGATCTCATGGGCGCTGCCACTGCTTCCGTCATCCTGAAATATAAGTTGACAAGTCCCATGTGCCCACCAGCACCCTTACCCTTCAAAACCGGAACGTAGTAATGCTCACATTTCTACTTGGCGGCAGAAATAGGTAAGATGGCAGTACTTCCCTGGACGAACTCTTTCACAAGGAGCTCTACTACTACAAAAAAAATCTTATTATTATTATACATATTATATACCTAGACTATATGTGGTACGTAATGAACAGGTTTAAGCGACATAGCGACAGCGTTACGCCGGTCGGTGAGCGTCCGCCGCGTTGAGTTCCCGGGCTGCGATGCGGCGGCAGGGGGTCGCGGCGCCTCTGAACGCGTCGCCACGCTTTGGCGGGAGCTGCACGAACGGTACACTTCAACCATTATTATACACTCCCGGACACATTGTGACGATGCGACCTCTTTCACCGTCATCCCACCCTTTTATCACCCATTTCTCTGGCTCCTGGCCACCTACTTTGAAATTTTTAATCGTTCTTAATTTTTTTTTATAATCTCAAGTTACGGGACGGGCAAGTCGTGCGCCTGTCCATAACATTTTCAGTGCCATTAAGAGTTTTAAATCGCAAAGATCTGAGGGGCACTACCACCGCCTCCATCACCCAGAGACGTAAGTTGTCAAGTCTCATGTGCCTGTAATTTCACCATCACCCTTACTCTTCAAGACCGGAACACAGTAATGCTGACATTACTCCTTGGCGGCAGAAATAGGTAAGATGGCGGTACTTCACTGGACGAACTCTTTCACAGGGAGCTCTACAGCTACTAAATTCCTTTTCTTCATTTTCTTCTTTCTATCGGACTCTCTACGTAAACTCCCGAAGCGAGCAGACGTGCTATCTCTCATCGTACTAAATTACAAATACAATAGTTTCTTATATACGTTGAACGAAGTAACGTGTTTATACAAATACATCACAGATATTTTTGTGGAAAAGTTCATAATGTCGAAGCTACCATAAACAGTTCGTGATATGTCAAGAAATGATAAACCTCCACAAGAACGTCCACAGGACTCTCCAAGCTACACTACAATCTACAGGACATGCTTGAGCGGTCGGTGCTAGTAGCGCGTGACAACATAATACGAGCCACCTTGCATTTTTATTTTCAACGGACTGGAATACAAAAAATATAGTTATTAGCCGTTTTCCCCAGTTTACAAATTAAAATTTTTTACAAAGACTTACGGAAATAACGTTTAGTATACCAGCTTCAAAATTGCATAATAGTTTTTGGTCAATTTAACATTGTTTAAGATTGGGTATTTAATACTGGAAATGCAAGGTGGCTCGAATTGCGTGTATATTATATATTATATAATATTCCTGTATAGTATACTCGTATACACGATTATTCTTTATAGCGCACAAGAACAAATACCCAAAAAAAAACAAAGACAAATACAGGTACAACAGGCAGCCTTACTACAGATACATAGTATTTAATTTTGACTTTTAACATTAAAATAAAACCTTTTTATTTCGAACAAGTACGTGGTTTAAATTTTTTATGTGAAATTACTTCAGTAGTTTGTTATAACTATTAATACAAAGATCGAACACTAGCCACGGAACGAACCAACGGACCCCACGAAGTTTTCTATGCGCTTGTCGTCGTATATTTGTATATGTCGCGTTTACAACGCGTCGCTTTTAATCAAAATATGTGTATGTAAAGTTGTATTCGTGTCATTAATTTCGGCGTTTTAATTCTTAAGAATTCGTTTAAAACTTGTTTTTTAATTTTTTTTGTGTGTTGTTACATCTTCACAGATTAGCCAGCAACAGCATTCCGACTCAATCGCATACTCTTCGCGCGATGTCCCTGGAACGAGCGTGGTCTGGCGGAGAGGCTGCTGCGGCACTGGCAGCTCAAGCAGCAGCTGCGTTGCCGCCGCCGCCGTTGCCCGCTGCACTGGAAAGGGCTGCTAGTCATGTGCATCAGATACTGCATCAGTATTTACAGGTTATAAGCGTTTTTCAGTACATAAATGAAATGTCAATGGTACGAAAACCAGGTGCTGCCGGCAGGCTTCCTGGAAGCTTACCAACTAGATGGCCAGCCAGCATCATCTGTTTGGTTAGTTTCA